AACTATCTGGAGCACCCTCTGGTGGAGGGGAGCCTGGGCAAAGGGCCTGGTTCAGATTCCTCTCTTCCCGCTGGCATGTCCACATTGCTGGGGGTGGCTGGGCTCATTCTGCTGGTATGCCTGGTTGTAGTTATGGTGGTTCTCTTAATGCGATGCAAGAGGAAAGATAAAAAGTACCCACCTTATTCCACTTCGTCCTGCACAGCGTACAACAGGGAGCCCATGAGACACAATGTGGACAGCTCTGAGGTTTAAACCGCCCGTTCCCTGTTCATTAAGACATGCCGAAACTAACTCTCACTATGGTGCTCTTCTTCTCAAGAAGCAGCTGAAGTTGAGGAGACAGAAAGATTCTGAGATCTAAATCCTCAGTTCAAATGACAACATCCGATATGTGGCTCTTTTGGAGGTTTCCACAGCTTCAATGAAGACATCTTGACTCCAAGACTCTTCATATTACTTGGTCAAACAAAAGGAAGTTGCTTGTTGCCTTTTTCTTAAGATTAAGTTTGAGCTTCATAGTACTAATGTTATGTTAGCGCGCTTCCATCAGTAGTTCTGTGAACCAGAATTGGCCACAGTGATCCTGCTCAGACAAACAGAGCGAATCTGTGCTTCAGCTTGTGTCAAACTCGAATGGAGTTATAGATAAATCATTCATTCATTATATATATATATAAATCAACTTATTTTTTCCCCAAGTTCAAAAAAGTTCCATTGTAAACAAGAATAAAAGGTACATTTACTTTGGCATGGAAGCGTATGTTGGACATCAAAAGCCTTATTCAACTACCCAGGCAATTTAAACTTGTTCAAGATCATTGGGAATTATTTTTTTTTTAATTAGTCCATTTTATTTTCATTCAAATTTTCATAACAGTTCTTCTTCTGAGTGTGCGTGTTAGATTTAAAAAAATTGAGAGATGCAAGAACTGGCTTCTTCGAACACTGTTGTAATAAATGTATCTATTTTTGTATGTTCCATGACATGAAATGCTGTGTACATGAGCACAGGTCAGCGTTCCCACATGACCGATGTGTTGCTATGCAAAGGGAGCATGATGTTTAATATTATGAATTCAAGTTCGTAATTATTCAGAATGTACGTATTTTTATACCTTTTCAGGATGTTAAAATGTGGTTTAGAATTACACAATAATTCTCTGTGTACACAGCTGCCTGTTACATATCTGGTGTTGAAAGGAGAGACTGGCGTCAAAAAAACTTGAAAACGTGTGAACCACGTACTTTTTTTCAATTAAAAATCATTACAGATTTACAAAATTAAAGCAAATAATGCTGAATATGCAAATTATAATTTCAAACTGTTGCTTGCGGGTTTTTTTTGTGCTTTCCCAATTGATATTTGTTTCAATTTATTGTTTAATGTTGTTTATTGCTCAGTGTATTAAAATCGAATTGTCAAGACACAAACCAAGATTTTTTCCACCTTGATATGTAACATGTTCCAGGCAGTAAGAAGTAAACCACTGATAAATTCCAAGTTCAGACTGCATTGAATAAGGTGTGGCTGCAGTTGAGGCTCTCTTACATGCAGAGGTATCTATCAGGACGCCATTTATGATTTAAAGGGATAGTTCACCTCTCGTGAATGAGCGGAAGAGAAGAAATTGTTGAAGTCATTATTTTTGTTTCTTTGCACACAAAACGTGTTCTCGTAGCTTCATAAAATTACAGTTGAACCACTGATGTCACATGGACTATTTTAACTGTCCTTACTACCTTTCTGGGCCTTGAACGCGTCAGAAAGCTCTCGGATTTCATCATTTTTTTTTTTGTGCTTTCCCAATTGATATTTGTTTCAATTTATTGTTTAATGTTGGTTATTGCTCAGTGTATTAAAATCGAATTGTCAAGACACAAACCAAGATTTTTTCCACCAATATTTTGTAATATATATCTCGCCCTGTATTATAAAAATGACTAAATATCAAATAACTCCAGGACACAAGTTTTAAACCCAACAGATTTAAAGAAGTCTGTGTCAGCGAATACACCATTAGCCTTGTGTTTGAAAACTGCCGTTTTATTAACTGCATATGTTTTTGAGAATTATTTAATGTCATTTTCTTTTTTGCGGATGAAAAGAATTCTGTTAAGATACTTGGATCCTTGTTTCATTATAAAGTGTCTGTTAAGATAAATGCCTACTTCTATACCCTGTGACAAGTTGAATTTCTATCATTTCAGCTGTTGTATAAGATCAATCAAATGTGCATGATACCCTTGATATGTAACATGTTCCAGGCAGTAAGAAGTAAACCACTGATAAATTCCAAGTTCAGACTGCATTGAATAAGGTGTGGCTGCAGGTGTGGCTCTCTTACATGCTGTAACATGTTCCAGGCAGTAAGAAGTAAACCACTGATAAATTCCAAGTTCAGACTGCATTGAATAAGGTGTGGCTGCAGTTGAGGCTCTCTTACATGCAGAGGTATCTATCAGGACGCCATTTATGATTTAAAGGGATAGTTCACCTCTCGTGAATGAGCGGAAGAGAAGAAATTGTTGAAGTCATTATTTTTGTTTCTTTGCACACAAAACGTGTTCTCGTAGCTTCATAAAATTACAGTTGAACCACTGATGTCACATGGACTATTTTAACTGTCCTTACTACCTTTCTGGGCCTTGAACGCGTCAGAAAGCTCTCGGATTTCATCAAAAATATCTTAATTTGTGTTTCGAAGATGAACGAAGGTCTTACAGATTTGGAAAAACATGAGGATGAGTAATTAATGACAGAATTTTCATTTTTGGGTGAACCATCCCTTTAATATTAACCTATAATGTTCTATGTAATTGAAATTGCAGTTTTGAAAACGGTTAAAAATCATCACAAATTCCATTAGTTGCAATGCCAGCAGTAATCTCCTGAAGTATCATTTTTATTGAGTTTATTTTCAAATGTACATTTCTTTCAGATTCATTAAAAAAAGATATAAAGCATCAGGGTCTGAGGACTCAAAGAAAAAAAGATTTGAGTAGAAGGGAAACAATATAGGCACAGCTTTGAATCAAAAGACATGCTTGAAAAGCCTGTATCGAAATATATACAGCAGAAGCCACCAATGGTGTTGCAACACATCAACAGTGTCTTCTTGGCTTAAGAATGGTAGTTATTAGAGCTATTTTATTTTACACACACAGTAACGTTTTATGCTGATGTATTCTGAATAGATGTATTCTGACATGATCTAAAAATCAATGAACGGATCATATTTACAACATTCAAAAAAAGTTGCAATGGTAAGGCAATTAGTCTCCAAGAGCTGCGGAACTCCATCTGAAATAAATTATCGAAGAAGCAATAAAATGCATTGATAGACCAGTCACACAGAGAATGAAGAAACATAATACAATTCCTGAAACTACTTGACCGGCTTTTCCTCCCCTCCATGAAGGCATCTCATACTTAGTAATAATATCTTGCATCGTAAGCAATTTCAAAAGGTTTCTATGAGAACATACGATCTGCAACACTAAAGACGTCATCTATAGCTGCAAAATAAAATAAAATAAAATAAATGAAAGCTGTTAAACCTTTCAGTGAGTACCTGACCTCGGCGCTTTTGTAAATTGATACCTTGCTTTGAAGAAAATTAAACGAGAGAATAAAACCAAAAACACAAAACACACAAAACTTCAGAGAAATCTCTTCTCTGTTAAAAACTATCACAGTTCCTGATTCCACCAATAACATTTCATAGTTTCTGATACCATCTCAGACCGTGTAGACTTCTATCCTGCAGAATCCACACCTTAGCCTTAACATACTAGATATTAGATACAAATAAAGGACACTTTTATTCATGTACATAACACTTTATACAGTCTGCCTGCTGTCTTAAATGCAAACGCAAACGATAATCATTTTCAAGCAAACTAACTCACCTTTGCAGATTTGCGGCTCAAGCAACTCAAAACCATTTGATTGCACTACCGAATTACAACTGAGGCCCAAAAGAATAAAACAAATGGAAAAAAAAATAAAAAATAGATGTGTAAAAGTTTCAGATTATCATGGAACTATACACAAAAAACCTTTTAGGCTTCTAAAATGCATCCTAAAAACTCACCTTGGCAGTTTTGTGAACATAGAACATTGTTTACAAAAAAAAAAAAAAAAAAAAAAAAACTTTGAGGCAAAGCTTTTTTTTTTTTTTTTTAAGCGATATTAATCCTCACATAAATGAACGTTCTCCAGTAGAGCAGGCTTAGTGATACATGTTTGTATTGCTCTTAAAGAAATAGTTCACTCAAAAATGAAAATATTGCTATCCAAGATGTAGATGAGTTTACATAACCTCAGGCCCACCTTGAGGACAGACAAATTCACCAGACCTGATGCTCCCCTAGCCCAAGGAATAATGTGCTTTAACACCACGATGTGGGAAAAACAATATCCAAAAATCTGAAACTGTCTGAGTTGATGAGTTGGGGGCAGTTTGTATCCATGTAGTATGAATAATGCTGCTGTTAGCGTAGTTTTCACTTGGCTTTCAGCCGAAAAGGCTCGGCAAGTCCTTCAAGCCCCTATGCAGAGTGCGGTCCATCCTACTTGGAGTCTGTCAGCTTATACATGAGGATCCCTCGGATCAGCTCTCCCCTGCGCGGGTGCTGTCGTCTAGCAGGAAGCAGTGTAAACTAGCTGATCTGGGAGCTGTGACCTAGGTGCTGTCACATATTTTTCAATAAAAATTTTACTTTATCAGTATTATAAGAATTGGCTTATGGCTATCAGACAGAATTCTGGAATCAGTGTATCCCTAGTTTACCTAACAATACTTGTACTTTACATGACATTGTTTTAATTTAATGTGAATATTAATAACTTATTAAATAATGGGGAAATGGGTAATTCCATTATTTAAAAAGCTAAAAATTAAAAGACAGTGACATTATTTTGGCAACAGAAGTAAAGTTCCAGTATCTCAGAAACGGCTGACCAGGAATTGAAACAGCTGCCATTAACTAGCTGTATCTAAAATCAAACGTGGAGGCCTGATAGGAGGTTCAGAGCATGTGCAGTGCCCTCCATTCCTCGGCCTCCCGCGAGTCATGACCGTGCACAAAAGAGGAAAGAGATGGGTGTCATTTGGCCCCTTTGTTGGGGGGATCTTGCTCCGTCGACTGCCGTCCGTCACTCCAGGCCTCACGTGTGCTCTTCAGTGCTTGCGTTCGCTGCTGATCCACCACCACATAGTCTACCCGCTCGTCTGATGCTGAAATACCAGTCCCGTTACTCTTCTTCTGCAAGGTCAAGATATGAGAGAGAGTCAAAACAGGAGAGAGAGAGAGATGACAAAAGTACCGATATTTGGGTAAGAAGTTGATACAAAAAAAAACAAAAAACTGCAACAACAATTTTCTACGGTATAAGTAGTATATAAACAGACTTTTTAAGATTCTTTATATTAAATAATTATTTGAAAAGTTGAATAAATGTTTCCTTTAGGGACGCACAATGTATCGGTACAATATCGGTTATCGGATGATAATAGATATTTATATGAGAGACCGTCAAAACAGGAGAGAGAGAGATGCCAAAAGTACCGATATATTTGGGTAAAAAAAGTTGACACTAAAAAGAAAACTGCAACAACACTTTTCTACGGTATTAGTAGTATATAAAACAGACTTTTAAAAATTATGTATATTAAATAATTATTTGAAAAGTTAAATAAATGTTTCCTTTAGGGATGCACAATGTATTGGTACAATGTTGGTTATCGGATGATAATAGATATTTAATTGTACATGCTAAATTACCCTATTTTTACCCTTTGCTATTATGTAATACATAATGTTTAAAAATACTAATTTAATAACACTGTTAAATGTAATATTTAGAAAATGTTGTGATTCCTAAATTCACAAATTTCTTAACAACTAAATCCCACAGCTTCACTACTAGTAGAGAGTAGCTGCCAGGTAGAATTAATTCACACATGCAATCGCTCTCACTAATGCATTATTATTCTTGAGTTATAAAGCCAGAATTGCGAGATATAAACACAATTCTGATAAAAAAAGTCACAATTGCGAGTTTATATCTCGCAATTCTGACTTTATAACACACAACTGCAAGTTAAAAAGGCAGAATTGCGTGATATAAACTCTCAATTTCGAGTTATAAAGTCAAAATTGCGAGATAGAAAGTCAGAATTGCAGTGATATGAAGCAATTCAGATTTTTTTTCTTGCAATTCTGATTTTCTTTTTTTGTCATTTTTTCAGAATTGTGAGACATAGGGTGCGTCTCAATCAGCTCCCTTGTTCAGTAGTCAAGGCACTGATCAGGGAATCGGCCATTTTAAGGGCTGTCTCAATCGCAAAATCCTTTCAGTGCACTGGAACGTTCGCTCCCTGAAAAATCCCACAATGCGCCGCATTTATAATTAATATTCAGCTGAAATTTTGTAAGAACATGTAACAGAACAATGTGTTTAAAGAAAATAAAAAATTATATCAAAAAGAGATCGGTCCTGTCTGTTGTTTATTAATTCCAGTATTTTTACGCTCGTCTGACTCCTGATGATAAAAAACCTCACCCAAACACATCCATCCATAATATTTTATTTTACAATTTGTCTAATTCTGCTTAATTATTATTCGTATCTTACCTTCCGAGGAGGAGTTGATTTCCCAGGGTCCAAGTCGAGGTCCAGGTACTCCACCTGCTTGTCTCCTTTGGGCTTCACCATGGGACTGCCACCTCCATCAGCATTCATTGGTGCTGCTAGCTTCATGTTCTGAGATATTAAAAAATAAATAAATAAATTACAACAAAAAGGTTGCATACATAGAGATAATAGTCAATGTTGTAGTCAGAATTAGTTATTAAAAGATTTATGCTACTGATATATTAATCTACTACAATGATACTAGATGATGTAAGTGAAAAGTCTGAATTTTTTAAATACTTAATCTAATCTATTTATCTATCAGTGACATGCAGTCGTTCACCCAACACTCATTCGAATGACTAAATCGGTAATGAGTTGTGTACACATTATCCTGTCTGCAAAATATGCTGAAATGGGTCTTTCTAAACTCTTTCATATTGATCAGACAGCTTCATAATTCCTTAATGATCAATGTAAGTAATTCAAAATAATGCTCTATTAGTTATAGAGGATTCTGCTGAAGACACAACCTCTGTAGATGTCAATCCAACCTCTAAAAGTGCCATTTGCAAGATTATTTCCATGCATTTTCATGGTATGAGTCATAAATGTAATAATTATGTATATGTAGTTTTTCTATACATGTTTCAAAATATATCAAGCCTTATTTCATGCTGCTTTATTTAGTAACTCAATACAAATCCAATCATCAAGTGACTGTCTGGGGAACAATGCTATAATGCACAGTGTATACAATTGATAAAATAACAATACAATCATGTATAGCTATGATTATCTTTGAAAAATCTGAAATGTAAGACCTCATAAAACTCTATGCAAGTAATTTAGGTTCCACTCATGTTGAAATAAACATTTTTTTTTACAGAGAAAAAAAAAAATCTAATGACACACATACACTACTGTTTGAAAGTTTGGGGACAATTTTTCCTATGTCTTCAAAATATGTCTCTTATGCTTACCAATGTTGCATTTATTATCAAAAATACAATAAAACAGCAATATTGTAAAATATGATTACAACACTATTTATAAACACTACGATTTTCATGATTTTATATATATATACAAAAACACTAATTGTGTTTTTCAGGTGTTTTCCCCCCTAGGTCATATGTCATCTAAGTTTTGTGAAAGGGATAGTTCGCCTAAAATGAAAATTCTGTCATTTTATTTACTCACCCTCCAGTTGTTCCAAACCTGTATGAATTTCTTTCTTCTGCTGAACACAAAAGAAGATATTTTGAAACAGCTAATGGTCACCATTGACTTTCATAGTATTTTTAGATTTTCTGTAGGATGAGTAAAATATGACACAATTTTCTTTGACAGAATTCACTATCCCTTGAGAACACACATCCAGAGTGTTGTTCAATCCACCTTCATAACCCTGCTCACCTCATCCTGGTGGTCTAGACCTGACACTTCTCTCTTTATAGGAGTGATGGGAACTGTACAGTAGAAGGACTCTTCTCTACAGAATGGAGCAACAGGGAGGAGGAGTAGAAAAATCAAAGAGTAAACAGGAAACAAATGGCAAAGGCAAGCAGAGAAACTAGAAATGAAAAATGCAAAATACAGATGAGGCAGACAAGAGGATCCACAAAAGAAGGCAAGGAATAGAATGTTGGAAATAAGAAGCAGAAAAGAGGCAGAGAAATGTCTCTTCCAAATATTGGCAGTTGAATCCAGTGCAACAAAAGCCATACTGTGCAGTGTTATCAACAGTTTTACTGCTGCATGCTAACATGTTAGCAAACAAAACAAGCCATGCACAAAAAGCTCCATATTACCCTAGTAAAAAAGTAATATATTTAAAAAACATTTATTTCATACTAAGTATACAGTGGTGTGAAAAAGTGTTGGCCCCCTTCCTGATTTCTTATTTTTTTGCATGTTTGCCACACTTTAATGTTTCAGATCATCAAACAAATTTAAATATTAGTCAAAGATAACACAAGTAAACACAACATGCAGTTTTTAAATGAAGGTTTTTATTATTAAGGGAAACAAAATCTATTAACATATTTACTAACATATCGTTCGATACTTACTGATATAAAAACTCAGTAACACTTTCTATGAAGCCCATATTTATATTACATTATAAGGATATTCTTAGGGCATTATAATGAATGCATAATGCATTATAAAAACCTTATATGCTATATCATCTTATGAATATTCATAAGAACGGTTTTAATGTTTTATATTTACCTATTTGTGGTTATAGCTTTTAAGAGTATGATGATTTATAACACACAGTGAACATGTTGCATCCACTTAAGTTACAATGAATTATATTTCTCATAGTTATAATGTATTATAAGTCTCATATCTTACCATCTTTCTTATGCTACTTTACTTAAAGCAATCAAAGACCACTTATAAGTATAATAATAATAATAATTTTTCTCAAACAGCCATAATATCAGATATCAGATCAGATGAATGTCTAATATGACACATTTGCTTTGAACTATTTTTATTGTAATATCAGTTTGATTATTTTGATGGTACCCTTTAGACAGCTGTTTGATAAGTAACTCTGCAACTACATGTCAATTAGCGGTCATTGGAGTATTAGTAGTATGTCTGCTAAATATATGCTAACACTTTATTTTGATGGTTCCCCAACAGACAAACTGGCTATAAGTAACTTTGCAAGTACGTCAACATTCTACCTACCCTAACCTTAACCTAAGCCTACTAATACTCGAATGAGAGTTAGTTGACGTAGTTGCAAAGTTGCTTATAGTCAATAGACTAAGGGGACCATCAAAATAAAATGTAACCTAACATATAAACATTGCATTTTTTTCATTTGAAATTATTAACAAGCTTACATTAAAATTAATATTAGCCTCACAGGGAACACTCAAATAACACTCCACACCTAACTACTTACAAGATGTAGTAAGATACTGTGCAGATCTTAAACAATGTCAAGATATATAGTCCATTAAATGTAAAAGTAGATTTAATATAGTGTTCATTGTGTGTTATAAATAATCATAATCTTAAAAGTTATAACCACAAATGCGTATATGTGTATTATAATCGTTGTTATGATTATTTATAAGATGATATAACATATTATAAGGTTTTTTATAATGCATTATGCATTCATTATAATGCCTTAAGAATACCCTTATAATGTATTATAAATATGGGCTTCATAGAAAGTGTTACCAAAACGTCTTATTAAACTTTATTTGGAGTACTACTTGTGCACAATGCACATTTCTTAATATTAAGCATAAAATGTGTTTTAATGTCACTATTGATGAGGATTGTACGATCTTTGAATAATATCGGTCTTTAAATGCAAGATATTTAAAGTGTACCTGAAGTATACTTGCAATAGTTCCACTTTAGCACAATCAAATATATTTCAGTATATCTTTAGATTGGATTTCAGCGCTACTTCCGTGCAATTAAAATGCATTAAGTACAAAATGAGTTGTTCCAATTTAGCAGACTTGTTTAGTATACCAAAAGTACAATTGCATGGTATTTTTATTAAGTACATAAATATGTAAATGTATTTGTAGTATACTTAGCATGACAAAAAATGTATTTCAAATGCATTTTAGTGTATTTATTTTTCACTGACTAGGGTATGCATTTAAATTTAAGAAAAAAAAAATTAACACAAACATGGAGCAACAAAGAAGAAAGGCCCTCCAGGTGAAGACACAACAGAAATAGAAGAAAACCTGGAGAAAAAAGAAAAGTAAAGGTAGGAAAAACTGCGAGGGGTCCTTCTATCCAGTCTGTTGAAAGACCACAAAATACCACCACCACCAAATTTCTGGGAACCTGCGATTTTATTCTCACTTTAGCCTTTATGCCTAATTATATATATATATATAAAGATATGGAAAAAATGGTGGAATCAATACCATGTTTATTTCAATCAAATCTGCAGAAAAAAATATGTAAGAAAACTATTGACTCTAATCACTTAATGTTGCTAACATATTTTATAAATAAATAAATGCAACTTTATACATTTACCTTACCATTTAAAAGTTTGGGATCAGTAAACTATTTTTTTTTTTAAATAAATACTTTTATTTAGCAAGGATGCATTAAAGTGATCAAAAATATTTGAAAATATGAAATAACAGTAATATAAAATATATCTATTTTTTGTGAACTTTCTATTCATCATAGAATTTTGATAAAAAAAAAAAAGTTTCCACAAAAATATTAGGCAGCACAGCACAACTGTTTTTAACATTGATAATAATAAGACATGTTTCTTGAGCACCAAATCAGCATATTAAAATGATTTCTTAAGGAACACGTGACACTCAAGATTGAAGCAAATAAATAACATATTAAAATATAAATATAAAAGCAGATATTTTAAATTGCAAAACTATTTCACAATATTACTGTTTTTTTACTGTATCAAATAAATGCAGCCTTGATAAGCATAATAGACTTTTTTCAAAATTACTACAAACGTCCAGTCGTTAATGTATGCGTAAATAAATTACTTCTATAATTTATACCTGTTAAATTAATTAACTTTATATACATATAAACACATATTCCAATTGTGAATGCATGAATTATTTATAATTGAGTGGAACAGTAGCTGTGGTGTTTTTTTACATACTGGTTCATCTGTAGACATATTAGCGTGTTGCATGGTTACATAATTCTCATCACAGTCGTCGGAGTCGCTGCTGGAGGCAGTGCTATGCCCCGAGGACGGTCTGGGGGCTGCGGTACACCTAGAGGGGCTGAGCAGCAGGACAACATTTGCACTGCTGCTCACACACACAAACACACACAAAGAACAGCAACACAAACTCTCGTTGTCTGGATTAATGCAAGGTCTGAGCTGGACGTCTTTGGCTGATAATGTGGAACCCAAAACACACTGGCAGTCAAAAAGACCTTCAGTGGCACTGATTCACACACACTTCCAGCGTTCCAGACACATGAGCCACATGGCACCTACATCAATGTATTAAATCAATAAATAATTCAAGAACACAATTCATGCCTTTATTGCACTGTCATCACTACCGCTTTTGTTATTATGTGGTGTTAGGTAGTGATGACAGTCGAATCACTTATGAACAAATTATGGCGACGTTTTACTATCATCGCTATCATTTTACTATTATGGGATGTTAGGACAAGACTACAGGAATGCATGAATGATTAGTTATTTAGCCTGTGGAGTCTGTGGTGTGGAGGCCATGCAGAACCATGCTTAAATACTGATCTGTTTGAGTGGAAACATGCCCAACACTTACTCCCTCGTGAAGGACCTGGTCACGGGGGAACGGACCGGTGCCGTATACTCCTCCCACTCAGCTAGAGGCTTGATCTCCAAAGGGGCCGGCTTAACTGCAAAAAAACCCAGCAGTTTAATGCAGAAAAATGTTACGAATGACACAACACCGCCCAAAGGTTTGGCCTTATACATGGTTATTATCAACAAGACAAGTAATAATATTAAAAAATTATAAATTACAATAAAATAGCGTGAACAAATTTGTGTGTAAATTGGTCATAAAAACATTTCTACATAAACTGTTATTATTAAAAAAGTATTATTAATTAAGATTTATTTACACACAAATTTGCATGTAATTTAAATGGTGGTTCTCTGCTTTTAGCCAGTAGAGGGCGATGTCTGCTATTTGAAAAATAATGGGAGTCAGAAGTAAACAAGTAACATTTGTTCAGTGAGACAAGTATGTTTCACTTATTTTTCCCCCCACTTAAGAACCGACTCAAATCAAATACAGGACCAAGTCATGAGAACTGAAATCACACCTGAGGGAAAACTGGAAAGGTTCAAAAGATTGGTCACTGCCAAAGGAAGGTCAAAAATGAGTGATAATCAAACATATCCTCTCTCTTCCTCTTCTCACATATAAGCAGTATCTGATTTAGCTATTGCATCTGGCTCAAAACTCTGCTGAGCTGAGATACGCCCAATCTGGCAACTGAGAAGTAGCTGTAGCTGGCTGAAACGCACACCAGCTGGTGCCAGTGTGTGAGGGAAGAAAGCACAGACGGATATGCATCTCAAGGCCCTAACTGAACTTTTTGGGCACAAAATGTGGCTTGAGTGAGTTTCTACTAAATAATATTGTAATATATGGTATTATGATCACTTCTTGGAAAAATTGCATCACAAAATGTATTACTGTATTTGTGATGTTTCAGTTTATTTTTATTTTTTCCAGCCATCTTTGTACTGCTCTGGTAGCATTTCATCTGCAGTGAATGGGTGCCGTCAGAATTCCAAAGAGTTGATAAACCCATTTGTAATGTTTTTTTTTTCTGCTGTTTGGACTCTCATTCAGATGGCACCCATTCACTGCAGACAATCCACAGGTGAGCAGGTTATGTAGCACAACATTTCTCTATTTTTTTAGTATATTTGGTATTCGGACACCCAGATGGGAGATACACTACTGTTTAACCGTTTGGGGTCAGTGAGTTTTTTTTTTTTTTTGAAAGAAATTAATACTTTTATTTAGCAAAGATGCATTAAACTGTTTGTATTAAAAAATGTTTTTAACTTTCTATTGATCAAAAGCACTAATTTTTTCAACACTGAAAATTATTTATTTATTTTTAGCACCAAATCAGCATATTGAAATGATTTCTGAAGGATCATGTGACACTGAAGACTGGAGTAATGGCTGCTGAAAATTCAGGATTTTAAAATATGCTAAAACAAAACAGTTATTACTGTTTTTATTGTGTTTTTGATCAAATAAATGCAGCCTTGGTGAGCATAAGCGAGATGGTTCTGTGACTTTCCCCCTAAAAAAACATTTAAAAATCTTACCGACCCCAAACTTTTGAACAGCAGTGTATCTTTGGACTTCCTGATGGCAGGTACATCCTGATGCCATTAAACAAAGCAGCACCAGGAAGATCCCAAGATTTTATCCAGACACCTGGATTGCTCTTCACACTGTTAGTCATAAAACGATTCATCGGCCCACTTTCAGCTCTTGTCAATATGACTCAAAAATGCTTATGCAAATGTGTTGGTTAAGTGTTTTATAATGTTTATGACTCGTGGGTCAGTGAGCAGTTTGACAGTGAAAGGTGTTTGTAGAGACACTGATGACTGAGTGTCAAATGTTAATCAGTTAGTTTTACAGTACCTGCGATATCAAGTGTGCTAGCTTCCCTCCACCAGTTAAGCACAAGCATCACTCTACCAGAACCTTAAAACCTCATCTATCACAAAATAATTTGCTTAATGACCAGCTGACCAAACATTTAAGAAATAAATCCAACCGCCTTCACGGGGACCGCAATCGGTGCACACTACAGACAAAGCAATGTATAGGCAACGGCATCAGTGACTTTACTACTAAAATATTTGAGTGGAAAGCCAAGTTCCTCCACACATTGCAGGTAGTGAATGTCTGTATGATAGGCTACGTTCACACAGTCAGTGTTTGGGCCGGGAAACCATATTTACAATGAATTGTGTCAAAGTAGCTTGAATACTCTCTCTGTATGAAAGAATATGCAAAGTGAAGCCCCTTTTTCTATAGAGGTGTAAATAATGCCTGTAACCAGTGTAACGGGTACTCAAGTAAATGCTGAGTAATATATATGGCTGTAAGTCCAGAACATTTAAAGAAGTTAATTTGAGTATAAAATGCGGTTATCACTTTAATTTATAACCAAACTATGTGCAAACAGAACTATATTTAGCACTCTAATATATGAGTACTAGAGATGCAAATATATAGAAATATTTTCATGTTATGGCCGATAACCAATAAATGGCTGATAGTAATACTCAAATTTTGTCTAGATATACATTTTGTCTAAATAAATTATAAATGTATAATATTTAATACATTTTCATTCAATAAATTAATTATGTGAGATATTTTTCCAAATTCTAAACAAATAACTTAAAATACTAAAAACTAAAACCAGTCATTTTGAATGCATTTACACATATGATTTAGAATTTCATAAATTTATAATGAAAATGGAAGGAAATGGAAGTTAGATGACAGCAAGGTAAACCTACACCGATAGTTCAGCCAAAAATGAAAATTCTGTCATTAATTACTCACCCTCATGTCGTTCCAAACCTGTAACACCTTCGTTCATCTTCGGGACACAAATTAAGATATTTTTGATGAAATCCGAGAGCTTTCAAGGACATTGTTAAGATAGTCCATGTGACATCAGTGGTTCAACCTTAATTTTATGAAACTATGAGAATACTTTTTGTGTAAAAAAAAAAACAGAAGAGAAGAATTGTTGAATAAAGTCAATATTTTTATTTTCTTTGCGCACAAAAATATTTTCGTAGCTTCATAAAATTAAGGTTGAACCACTGATGTCACATGAACTATTTTAACAATGTCCTTACTACCTTTCTGGGCCTTGAATGTGGTAGCTCCCTTGCTGTCTATGCAGGGTCAGAAAGCTCTCGGATTTCATCAAAAATATCTTTATTTGTGTTCTGAAGATGAACGAAGGTCTTACGGGTTTGGAATAGTGTTGGGCGATATGGTCATTTTTCATATCGTCATATCGCCAGCCTGTGAGATCACCGATACACGATATTATCGTGCATGGGTGGGTGGGGGCAAGAGAGACTCTCTGTAGTCGTTATAGGCTATTTCATAACTATTTGGTGTTTTAAACCACGCGTACGTGTGAGAGAGAGCCTATGGAAGCACCAATAATCGAAAAAATATACTTTCAAACATACAAAAAAAACTAACATGTTAAATATAAAAATATTTAAAACAGCTAGTTCATATATATTCAAATACAACAGTCATACATCGCTATTAGGACTGCGCGTCCTATGACAAGTTATCAGTCTAAAAGGTCTGCAAAATCAGTCAACGGTGAAAATCAAAAGTATATTTATTTTAAAGACCAACAAACGAACACGTTAAATATAAAAGTCTTTTAAACAGGTAAGTTCATATTTTTGGAGTAAAGTTAAATTAAACGGATACATCAGTCATACAGCGCTCCATGACGAGCCCTGTTTTAGACTGATAACTTATTATCTTCATATTTTTATAATAATGATGATGAAGAATACGCATCAATATTTTTTGTTAATATGTTGTAAAGAAAATGAAATGCTGATGACGATGACGATGCAGTTTGCGGCATGTTAATTCATACAGCTGTTCAAGAAAAGATGTCTTGAAAAGATATCTCTTAGTACTCTTGATATAATCTGTAAATATAGGTTTATCACCTTGCAGTTCAATTTTGATGTGGGCTTAGTTTTATAGTCTGTTTTTAAAACATTTCCAATGAGGAGGAGAAGCCTAATCCTCATTTGCGCATGTGTGTGAATTGCGGTGCTGAGGTGAAATAGCGAGGCAATTTGATAGTAATAGCCGAATAATAATAGGCCGCCTAACAATAATAATAATCATAATAATAATTTAATACATTAATAGGATAATGAGCCTAATACAGAATGGCTTGAGGGCGAGTAATTAATGACAGCATTTTCATTTTTGAGTGAACTATCCCTTTAATATAAAAGTAGAGGTAACATACAAAAAGGTCCCTAGTTAGAACCATATTCTTTGCTGTGTTAAAATAGCCATATTCTTAGTTCATAAGTCACTTCTATCAAGGTCTTGACAGCTATCAATCAAACATAGTGAGGTCCAGTTTTTAATGAAATTTGATTTGTTCTATTAGTGTATTCAATGTATCATTCACAATTAGAGCTTGTTGAAACCTTCACAAAAATACACCTCAGAACTGAGGAGGCAGACAGTGAGAGTAGCATTTCTGTCGAGGTACGTACCCTTACGCCGTCTTGAGAATTCACCTATGGTTTGGGAGTCGGTTCGCTCAAGACCGACTGCTCTGTTTATTTTAGGGCTCTGACCTGAATTGGTGAGAGAAAACGTTTTTGTTACATGTCTCCTTTGAAAGAAATCGGCCTCGTCTTCTTCTAAACTTCACACCCATGCAATTTAGCACAATCACGGCCACCTCCATCACTCGTGCCGCTTCTCTTTCGCCGAACAAATATGTGTTGGGCTGCTGCCATGGCAACAACTCTTCATGCATTTAAGACATGCGATGAACAAGGCTTCCCCACAAAGACAAACATGCACAGGGTTAAACAGACACACGTGGGTGAGTAAAGCATTCACACCAACCGACGACACGCCAGCATGTGGCTCAGCCAGACAGAAGGGTTCAGTAATGTCTTTGTAATATTAGAAAAATTAAACCAACTTGTTTTTTCTGCTGTATGCATATAGCTGCCACAAGAAAATACCACAAGTCAACAGTGATGATGGCCACAATTAAACAACCGGTCAAACACAAAAAAGAGCAGAATATCACAATGATTTCCAAGACTGTAGGAGACTGTTCAGGTAAAAAGTTTGATATAGGAAGAGAGAGAAACCAGGCAGAACAGAGACTAATATTTAGACTAATATAGAACAGCCAATAAAAGCGTAGAGAGAGGACTAACACACTAGGACACAAAGTACCCAACAACTGCCTATAAAATGCCACCAAAGCCATTTGAATCACTCCATGTTCAGAAAAAGCTTGCAAATACGCAACAAATACAATAAGCTGCGGTCTGAAGAGCAGTAGAAAGGACACTGGGCATTTGAGAATGATGTGAAAACAGTTAGTATTGTGCTTGGCCCATGTTTAGAAAATAGAAAAATGATTTTTAAGAAGACCTATTTCAGTACCCTACATGCACTACTTGGCCAAAATCATGTGGACACCCGAATGTCACACCAGTTGTAATTTATACATTGTATAGGTATGAGACCTATACAATTCTCAATATAAACTAGTTGCTTATTAGCGTGCATATTACTAGCATATTGGCTGTTTATTAGTACTTGTAGGCACATACTAATGCCTTCTGTATGACCATGTTCTAGATCCCTTAACTCATCCCAATTCCTAAACTTAACAACTACCTTATTAACTGTTAATAAGCAGCAAATTAGGAGTTTATTGAGGGAAAACTTTTAGTTAATAGTAATTATGTGTTCCCTATTCTAAAGTGTTACTAAAAAAAGGAAATATGATGGAAAAATGAGCAAACAAAGCATCTTTTCATCTTTTCACGAGAATCAAATTGCCATTGCAGTCATTTATTAAATGTGTGTGGCAGATTTATGGTCTGATTGTCTGAGCTAATTATTGAATCACATGACTTGAGGCAATGTCAAATGACTTTGATGCACATCAAGCTATGTATTTGGGCAATGTGTTTTTATAGTAATTTATATCTTACAGAACAATCTTTTATTCTAGGTTACACTTTATGTGTGTTCTTGCTACACTGAAATTACACAAATAGTAATGAGAAATACTTATTTACAACATGCATATATAGGGTTAGGGTTTGTTTTAGGATTAGTTGCTTGTAAGTATGTATAATTTAACGGTATCACATATTTGTCTACGATTAGTCATGAGTGTCAGTGAAATCACCAAATTATACGGGGTTCTCACAGTTATGGCCAAGTGGTGCATCTCCTCTGCACGTAACCTGCTGTCTCCTGCATTAGCCAGCGCTCGGAAACAGTAACACATAATTGAAGATACACAATGGTTTCGGATGAGCACAGAGAGCTGCTGCCATTAATGTTTAGATCAATAGTGCTGTCCCAGCTGGCTGCTGATGTTTCGCCCGCTTGTGCAACTTTCAGCACGTCCCCTTTTTCTCTCAGACCAGATTGAAATTCCCCTCGCAGGTCTGGCCATCAAAGAGGTCTTTCACTAAGGCACAATGGGGACAGAGGTGACCGCTCCAGGCTAACGGCGCAGACAGGCTCCCTCATACCCAGGGCTCAGTGTCTATAGACAATAGCTTCTTTTATGTGTGAGGTCACATGCTAACGATTAAAACGCAAAGGTCACTGATACAGCAGTGCAGACTAGTTTGCTAAGCGAGTTGAACGATCTGTAATACGTGTTATAAACGCATGGCAACAAGCAGACTGAGAACTCAAAGGTGGAAGAAATGTTTTATAAGCATGGGCCGGCACCTGTTAGTGAGAAATGTTGTAATGAGAGTTGCTATGCTGAAGAGATGCAAGCACTGTACACATTAACACGATCCCTCCTTATATACACACACACACACACACACACCACAAGAGAAACAAACCTCAGGGCTCACCTTTACGGTCAGGTTTGAGGTTGCGGTCAACAGGCGGCGGTTGGCATTCGGGCATGTGCACCGGTCTACGAGGTGGGGTCTTGGGGCTGGAGCGGAAGCCCATGTGGGCTGGAGGGGGCACCTGTTTTCCGAGTGAGGAGAACTCCACTGTGCCTGGTGTCATGGGCACATAGTTGGGCTCCTGGATGGGTTCTGATAGGCTGCCAGAGCGCTGATGTGACGAAGAGTGGACGCTCATGGGTACATAGTTCTCGTCCATCTCCTCAGTGGAAACACCTCCTACTGGCACCATGCCTTTATTCTTCTACATGCATCCAAGAACAGGGAAGAAACTGTTAGGGATTCTTAAGACATTTGAAAGACAGGACCTAGTTTTAAACTAGATAAAGTTGATTAATCAGGAAAACTTACAAAATAGTTGTTGAAGCTTTCATTAAAATCAAATGAGCAACTTTTATCTGGGGGGAAGGGACGGGGTATATCATAGCAGTCTTGAGATCCGTAATCTGTAAAATAAATACAAAATGAATGAATGCAGTCAAAAGAAGAAAAAAAAAAAAGTCACAGAACCATCTCTCTTCTGCTCAAAAAGGCTGCATTTATTTTCATTAAAACTATAGTAAAACAGTAATATTGTGAAAT